TCGATTCTCCTGGGAGGTCGAAAAACAAGCCGAAAGTTCGATCTAGTCCGGCATATCGGGCTGAAATTTTTACCACAAGCGTTTCTCACTAAGACCAATCATTCCTGAAAATTTCAGCCCAAACAGTGGGTTCTAAGGGGGAAATCATTTCTGAGGGGGGGGGGGGGGGTCCCCTTAATTGTACATTATTCGATTTCGCCGACTATGCTAAGTAGTTTGAGAGCTGGAGAAATTTTATAAGAACATGAATGCCAACAATTGAGCAAAATCTAAAACATCTGCTTTACTCTTTGTAGTGAAGGCTACTATTTTCGCGTGGAAAAAAATAATCTGATCAGAGTAACCTTATAAAAATTCAAGGAAAAAACAATATGAACTATACACGAGGTCTCGCCCATGATTTCTCAAGATCAAAGTACGGCTTTCAGTGCTTGAACCTTTCGGACTATGTGGTACTGTCGTGTTCTGGAGAAACGCGAGTTTTCTCGACTGAAAAATGCACTTTTAAGTTTCTAAAAATTTTACTTCACATCTACCAGAACTTTAACTCAATATCTGAGAAACCTTTTTCCTTCGCTCAGCGGCTCCCGAAACTTCGATGCGTTCTATTAGTTTCCAAGAAACTGATTTTACTGCAAAGATATGAGAAACTGATTTAAAATAGACATAATGGACATAACGGACTTAATGGGCTTAGGATTAGACGCCCTATTTCAACTTTCAAAAGTTAGCTACACTTTCTGTCCATAAATTTACAGGAAATATACGAGCTATAAGGGTGTATAGCAGGTATAGGAGGTATAAAAACCTATAATGGGGCTTAGCTAGTATAGGTGGTACAGGAGTTATTACAGATATCTCCTCATACCTCCAATACCACCTTATACTTCCATAAATCTCCTCTACCACCCTATACCTCCTATACCCCTTACAGCTCTCATACGTACTTAAGCCTCCTATATCTCCTGTACCTAAGAAAATTTCTTATGCCTCCAATACTGTACTTGAGTTACAGACGCTATCAGAATGTTACAAAGTTGTGAAGCTTTCGTATAACACTCGTCATCATTTTTCTCAAACGCTAACAACAGAAATTATCCGAAAAGATACGCACACCATCCTCCAACTGGTAGGTATCGCGAAGCGACTGACCACAAAACGACACAGACCACATCACATCAGATGTGGAGGGTTGCGATAGGACTAGCGACCAGAGGCACCATACCGCATAACGTATGTTGTGGGTACCGTGATATGGCGGTGCAACAAATGATACTCTCCACAGGTGTACTGACATGCTGTGTGTCGTTTTGTGACCAGTCCTTTCCGGCCATACACACATGGTGCGATAGGGCACCTTCACCTGCTGCGACGTGCTATGTGTCGTTTTGCGACCGCTCCTTATCGAAACACCCACACCACGAGCGATGTGAAACGTATAATTTTCTGAGGGGTCCTTTCTCAGCCCCAACAGCAGACGCAATGTGCTGTGTGTCGTTTCGAGGCCAGTCATTCCGCGGTAACCACACCTATTACAACATGGTGTGTGTTGTTCGGAGGCGAGTCATTTCGCGGCGCCCCACTTGGTGCGTGTCGTTTCATTGCTAACTCTTTTGGGACACTCGCATCTCGTGCCATGTGCTGTGTGTGGTTTCGTGCCTATCCTCTTGCGGCACCCATACCTAGTGGCATGCGGTGTGTGTTATTCCTTGACCAGTCACGTTGCGGCACCCACACCTGGTGCAGCGTGCAATGTGTCGTTTCGCGATCAGTACTTATCGAAACACCCACACCACGTCCGATGTGCGAAGTGTGGTTTCATGGCCAGACCTTTCGAGGCGCCCACATCTGGTGCCATGCGGTGTACGTCGTTTCGTGGCCACTCGTTTCGTGGCACCAACACGTGTTCTAATGTGGTCTGTGTTGTTTTGAGGCGAGTCCTTTCGCGGGACCCACACCGGGTGCGATGTAGTGTGTGTTTACGCGTGATTTCCATTATTAGGTTTCGAAAAATACTGACAAGTGTTTTGTGGAAGCTCGAATACTTTGTAAACCTCCGAAGCCCCGTGATAGCTGCTGTGCCTTCCATACAGTATAAGGAGGTATAAAGAGGTATAGAAGATATAAGTAGATATCGCCTGTTTCTCATTATACGTCATATACCTCCTTATACCTCCTGTAGCTGCTTATACCTCCTATACCTCCTGTAAATCTATAGCAACATAGAGTGAAACCAGCTTCTGAAAACTCAAACAAGACATCATGGGTCCCATGGTCGCATCTTGTTTATATCAAGATAGATGCAAACGTTGCGTCTAATTTCAGTCATATACATCAAAGCCCTAAATTCAAGTAGAGCACTGCGGCTGGATGCTGGAGCAGCCAAAAAGCGAAAGATCAAATTTTGTCGAATTATAAATTAAAAACATGACAACTCTCATCCTCAATGAGGTAGCAGCCATCAGCGTCAGGTTTAAAATGGTTAGGATATCAATGATATATGCACAATGTTAGTTAAGATAGAGGAGACAAATGTGTACACGATACAAAGGTAGACCTGACGGCATAGCGGCGCTCTTCGTGTGACCGTCCGGACCCCTACGCGCCCCAACTGATATGAAGCTGTGTATGACGCATTGATTAAGATATACAGGACAAATATGTGCCTTGGTGAATGTTATACGCTTAGGGTGAGAGTGGTCATTTATATAATTTATAAGTCAGATGAAGTTTTATCTTTGATTTTTTGAGTACTTTGATGGGGCAGCGTTTTCCTCTCAGTTTTTAAAAGCATTTTCGAAGTTATAATTACTAATTACAAGTTCATTTATATTCGAGTTCGAATTAGGCATCTCATCCTTGGACTTCAGCCTGAATAGGTCATACCCGCCCAGACAGATTAGTAAGCGGTACCACTTGCATTTTTGACCGAAACAAAGTAGAGTAGAAAAAGCTGAACTATACCCAATGCTTCAGATCAAGATTTAACCATTATGTTTATTATCGCCATTATGGTCATTATGGTCATTATGGCCATGGTCAAATATCAAGGAAATTGTGCTCAGGCTCGGGAAAAAAAAATTGGTTTCCGGAAAATGGATTTGGCTTCAGAAAAACATGTGATTTCCGGAAATCGATTCTGTGTCCGAAAGTCTATTTAGTTTTCTAGAAACTTATATAGCGCATCATGTGCTCTCGAAGAGCTAAAGATAAAATCACTACGTGAAGAGAATATTAGTCTTCTCAATATGTCCATCATGTGAACAAATAGGTAGACGAAGTGTGACTATGAGTGCTGTCTTCATTCACACACACACACACACATACTCATTTACATCCACAACACCACCTCAGAACTCTCTCACGAAACCTTCATTTCACCATACACGACACTACACACTAAATAAAAATGTGTCGCATGTGTCGTGATTTGCGACACATTGTACGACACATTGCAGTACGACACAAGTAGCTCACTGCGACACATTTTCTCCAGCGAGACTGCGACACATTTTGTACGACACATGCGACACATTTTCTATTGGTTCTTTTCGAAAAGCATAATTATTTCAATTTTTTTCTGTTCAATATAATTCTATTGAATTATTTCTATGGTGAAAACTCTAGCAGGTTAGATTCTGAGATCTGTTCTGCTTCGAGTTGATCTGATTTGCATCAGACGACTCCAATGTAGTCCTTTCTCAATGATGAATCGAGATTGGCATTTTTTCGACAAAGACTATCGAGAAATAATTTAGAAAAAAAAGAATATTTTGAAAATTCATCTTTCTTACGCTCAACCACGTTGTTTATATATCGTCATGTCTGCATAATAAAAGGGTGAACGACTAGTTAGCAGGCAGAACGCGAAAATTTTGTATGCGACACATTCTGTGCACGACACATTTTTCTGCTGGAGTGCACGACACAATAATTCACGACACATAAACACGACGCATTTTAATTTAGTGTGTAGAACATGTAGCATTTGAATTCTTTGAATTCATGTCGTCTTATTTTGTGCCGCTCGACTTTTGAGTTGATGTGCACTGTGGCTCACCTACTAAGAGCGTCGATGAGGGGAGTAAATTGATGGTTGAGTTCCTTCTTCATCCACACACTCTCCATGGACTTTACTTTTTAATCGTCAAGCTTCTTCACCAAGGCTCAAGATTTTGATTGGAGAAAGCTCGGCGATAGTTCTTGTGAGTCGCTGCTAACATCAAGAAAATATTTCAGCTGACCTGGTTTGTGGGAAGTCGATACTGATTTCTGAGGTAGACAGAGAAAATGTGCTGGGAAAAGCACTGGTTGTTAGGAATGGATATCGACGTTGGTGTGGGCGTGGGCGTGGATAGATGCTGACATTAATCTAGTACATTCACTCACCCACGCCCAATATGTATGTGTGTAGATAGTGATGGCAACATCTAATTCATAGAACAACAAACAAAAAAATAAGTGAAGTCTTGATTTCATGAATGTTATATTGTCATGTTTTTTACAGAATAAGTTGTTTTTAATTTGTATTTGTTGTGCAGCAGAACAAATCATTCGAATTTCGTTCAATTTTAGGTGACACACACGTACATATATGGCGACACCCATCGATGTTAATCGTCGTTTATTGGAAAGTGTTCGCGATGAACCAAAGAAAATGTTGCTTCCGATATCCGGTTACGAGAAAGTCAATGTTAAAACTCTTGAAGAAGCTTGTGAACCAATAAAAGATATTTTCGATAAAAAGCTACAACAATATATTATAATTGCCAAAATGAACTCAACGGATCCCAAAAATGGACTGACTCCAGACGAGTCTGCTTCCATTCATCTATATACCTTAGAATGGGATGAACATGAAAACAGTTTATACATGATTCTGAATAGAACTCTTCGTTTGACTGACCGTACAAAGCTGCAGCCATGGTTCAGATACTTGAAGTTGTTCCTTACAGCTTTTTACAAATTACCGTAAGTAGAAAAAAATAATTTATCGTTACATGTTATTATTATTTTTTATTAGAGAAAGCGAACACACACTTATTTGGCGTGGTGTACGCGAAGATCTTAGTGCTCTTTATCCAAAGGGTAAAGAATTCGCATGGTGGGCATTTAGTTCTTGTACTGCTTCAATAGATGTCCTTGAATCACCGAATTATGTGGGAAAATCAGGCACAAGAACAATATTCTCTATTCAAACCAGTAGTGGAAAAAACATCCAGGTCCATTCATATTTTGAAAATGAAGATGAAATCCTTCTACCTCCAGGTATTTATCTCAAAGTGATTGGTAGTTTGAAACCAGCTGAAGGTCTACATATTGTTCAACTTCGTGAAATTCCACCGCCATACCAAATGCTTGCTGAACCATTTGATCTCTCTCAACTCAAAAAAGCTTTACCAGAGTCAAAACCATCATCATCTATATCAAGCTCGCACAGAAAACAAGAAGACTATCCAATAGCAGACGCTCCATCGAAGTCACACAAAGAAGTCTCCTCGAAAAGCAGTAAGTTACGACTATTTCATTAAGGATAAGAAAGTTTTTTAGAGAGAACATTTAGTTCGCGTATCCTGGATTCTATTAGAATATTATTGTCGAGCATTTTAACTTGAGAGCAAACAGGAAGTTTTTATCAAATCAAGGAAAAACAAGCAGACTTCTGTACTTCTGTATTATCAAGAAATAATGAAGTAAGGAGAAGTTTAAAGAAGTATCGAGACGTACCGAGAAACACAGAAATATTTAGTGTGACTGTGCACGTGAATCTTCGTTGCACTCACACTCACACTAGAAAAATTTTACTACATTCTTCAGAATAATTGTGAAAAGATCTTGAGACCGTACGAAAACTCTAAAAAAATTTTGATTTTGTCGCAAAAGATTCTGCATGGAACCAGTATTTTTTAGTGCACACCCATGCTTACACTGATATTTCACACCCACACCCGATGTTTAGAAGTGCCACAATTCATAGCGTCAAAGCATCAATCCATATATTCTACGAAGAATATAGATAGGAACTATGCGTTCGTGATTGGAGAATACTACTCCGTCTTTTGGTTATCTTGCGGCATAGGGTGCTACCTGGAGAATTTCGAACATCCGATATTTTTTCTATATCCATCACTAGCTACAACTCCGAACAGAGAGTTGGGTTGATTCAGAGTCCTTCTGCTCAATTACTTGAGCCTATACTAACTACAAGGATCAATGTATGTCACAGCGTTGTTAGTATGCTACCGTACGGGTGTTTTGTGACAAAAAGCCGTTAATGACTTGTCCAAGGTCATTACATGTCTCATGGCACCAATGTCCATCATAATATCTTGATAGTACATGCCAAACAGCTTAACCATTCAATCATAGCGACTGTATTAGGATTTGGAGCATATCTCAACTTTTGAGTTCAAAGCCTTGGTGCGAAGCAAGTAGAACAGGTTACCAGAATACTTGTCGTAACTGTTCACTTGCTATGCGATTTTTAGCATCTAACTGACACGTAAGATATTTGGGTGTGGGGTGTGGGTGGGGTGTGGGCGTGTGAGTGTGGCTGTGGCTGTGAAAGTTCCTCTGGATTAAAATAACACCTAGACCCACAATCACACCCCACACACGCACCCACGCCCACAACCTCCACTCACACCCTCCAAAAATCAAAGGTGTGGGAAAAACAAACTAGTGCATCTTGTGGAGTAAGTTTCGCTCTATCAAACTGGCAATACCATCATTTCCGTTCATTCCAACTTTCTTATTGACTTTTTCGAATACTTTTTCTCTGCAGCGAATTATATTGTGAATAACTAACTCGTAGACAAATGCATGAGAATTTTTTTTAATTCTTAAGGATTCTGATGCAGTTTTTCACGAGGAATCTGAATCTGTAATTAGTTTTAAAATTTGAATGAATAATTATTGACTACCATTATGTTTTTGATAAGCTACAATTTCCATTTACTGCATAAAAATGCATGGGAGCATAAAAAATGCACTAATCGTATTTGACCCATATCTATATGAAAATAGGGTGAAACTCTAACAAATTTATTACCAAAATGATCAGCGCAAAAAACTCTACGAACTCTGAAAGTTTCAATGAATTTAAACGTGGTCACTGTATCGACTGGCGCCATCCCATGGATATACCCAAGAGTCAATTTTCGCATCTGCTTGCCTGTAGGATCATTGGTTCACATTCACGTTTGAGATTTCTATTCCACTCGCTGATGCTGGTCAAAACCGATACTGTCGACATGTTGAGTGCAGTAGTCTGAGTGCGTATATTTCGGATGATGATATGAATGTGTATTCGATGTGTATCCACATCGACTCGGCGCCCTCACATCCCTTAGCAATACATCTATGCAACTTATATTTCGAGTTTTAACCGAAGACAAGTTAGAATAACGGAAATCGAGGTCTCATCATTTATTGTTCATCTAGAACTCGACAGGAATATTGTTGAAACTGAACCATGGCATCATTTTGATTCTCTACGCATGTGTAATATATCGTGGCGTATGCCCAATCAATGCCGATGACTCGTCTTTGAGAAAGTCATATGACAAGATTGGACATCGTTGCGATGCTGACAAACAGTGATAGAAGGAAAAGCTTTCTGTTTGGAACGGGGGAACATTCTTGAAGTCAATAGCATTGTTTAGTGCCAAACTCAATTTAATTTTTGAACGTCCTTTCAACACTATCATCAACTGGATGTAAGTTTTTTCTTGTTTTCCAGATCTACCTTAGATTGATTACAATATAGCCAGCGGACAGAAGCATTGATTTTTATACCTTCAGTATTTACTTGTATGAATGGCAATAACCCTGTCTTCTCTTTGTTCAGGTGCATCAAAGTCATACCATGCTGCATCAAGCACCCTATCAACCAGTACTGTTCCTAAGTCGAAACCTGTAGCAATGGCATCTGAATCTTCTACAAAACAAAGTATGTTGCGTTAAGAGTGACACAAGTTCCATGTAAAAAACAACTTGATTGCTCCTATCTTTCACTCTGTACTTGATGATTGACCACTCCTGTCGGCGGCAGCGTCACCGACGTTCCCGTTCGTGACCGTGTCGTTCATATAGGGATAGAAATGCATCTTGTCTTGCGTTTTTCTAGCATTATTCCGATACACCGAGGTTAGCATACTTCTTTATTTATCTTATTTTGCGATAGTATTATACAGTGTCCATTCTAGAGAGCGAGAAGTTCTCATTTGTGTTTTCAGGAACGGGTACGCAACAGCGGCAACCCTACATTGAAACCCACTATTTATCCCTTTGTTGTAGAATACACTATTTAGCAAAACTCAGAGAATCAACATGTCATTCATCTTTGGGTATCAGAGTTTCAAAGAAAAAAAATCTCCAAGCTTTTTTTTCTCATGCACTCGTATGTGAGTTCCCAAAAAACGATCTGTTTTCCAACTGGAGTTAATCGATTTTTGTTTTATTGCGTCACATTTTTGGAGTAGTTTTGCATGGAAAAGTATTTATAAAACACATTCTGATAAGAAAAGATAGCAACACACTGACACAAGAAAACTATAAAAGACATCAATAAAAAAAAGCTTATAAGCGCAACCCTTTTGGAGCTCATATATGTGGAACTCACTTGTTCCTCATAAGCTGCAGTGTAACTCTGATTACTGTGGTCTGTAATTT